CCTGGATGAGCCACAACCGAACTTTCACCTTTTTGTCAATTCTGCATCGTGCAGTTTCACATGTTCTTGCCGCGGCTCGTTTTGATGACCCGAGTCGCTCTAAACGCCAACCAGAGGACTTTCACACAGCAACGATCGAGGAGCGGCGCAAGCTACGTAAAACGAGAAAGTATAGCGGATGCGATGCCGAGAGCCGTGTTCAGACGCTAAAGCAGGTGAAATGAGCTCAACCATCACCATGGCCAGTCTACACTAACTTGGGTGCTAACCGTTCCTTGGGAAGGATTACTTCTCTGTTCTGTTCGCGACTGTTCGCGACGTCTCAAGGTTATCCTGTGTTTCATACTGAATTCCAGTCTCCATTAATTTTTCCTTCCAGTCATGCATCTCAATAAGATTCACATCATCCTTAGCCTACCCGTCAATCCATCAGAATAAATATTGAATACCGCGGACCGATAAGTCACAAAGTATCTCAATAATTCGTCGATTACTGGGAGCTGTCACACTGATCCTGTTTCGATTCGGTCTTACATCGACCTCGTCTTTATGTAAGACAGCTGCCACCCGTTCAGGCACGTACTCCAAACGGCTCTCGACTTCCTTCGCCAGCGTCATCCAGCCCCAGCTGAGACCCCAATCCATCCTGACACAATGGGCACTCGCACTGTGGCGAAACCAGCTAATGTTTCTTCTTTTGTGCATGTTAACTGATCACCAAAATATGCAGCGCCCGGCCTGTCCTAACCCGACCTCCGCCTAATCCTCTTAGCCCAGCCCTGGCGACTGCGCCCCAGGGTATGGTTGCATCGATCGCCGCAAATCAGAAACGGACACGGCATCGCCTCACAAATGGCGGCGATCACGGCCGTCACGATCGCTCATCGCCGCCAAATCTCGCCCATAACTCGTCGTCGCCGGCCGGTTCTGTCCTCAAATGGAAGGCGGGTCCGACACGGCAGTAAATCACCAGTTGCCTCACAGTCACCCACGGACAGCGAGCTTCAGCGAGGCTTCAACAAAGCTTCAGCAGCTCTCGCAGCAAGAGAACTTGGAGGACAGCTACGCCAGATAGCGAGATGGATATTGGGGGTAGTTACCTCAAGGTAGTGCTGTCCTCGCAGCGATTGCAGCAATATCCGATCCGTCAAACGTATCTTTTCAGCAGAAACAAGGACGCTCATTAAGCCCGTCCTGACTCCTGAGTCTGAATACCCTCCCTACACTGATCACTTTTGCATGCATCCCAGCGGCTCAATCGGCCCGACCTAGTCCAAAGTTACGAGCTGTGTTCATCTCTCATCGTGCAGCGACCTGGTAGACGACCTGAGCACCCTTGGTAGACGTTGCTAACCGGCCGGCCGCTGACCCATGCATCCCCGCTCGTGAAGAGGGCGAGCAGTGACCCTCCGCCAAAGGGCAGGCTAAAGACGCCCCGCCGATCTCTGCACCGACCAGCGCCGGGGTTAGTGACTTCATGCCAGCAGGGGTGAGAAGGCGTGGGCCGTGCCGCGCCCAGGTGTAGCTGAGGTGGGGTCACTGGCCAACATGCTGCACAGTGTAATGCACACCCACGTCCCACAGTGTTGTTGCTGCCTTCAAAGCGTCCTGACCGCAAATGACATCTCCGGAACTCTCTGAGTTGACAGCAACACTTCAGCTGGCTTCCCGAACCGGCCGCTCAGTAATCTGGTCCGTGACCGGGCGGTCACTTTCGCCAGATCTGGCTCGTTACCGGCAGACCGCTCCACCCACGCAATCAATTCACCCCGTCATCTCTCGGTCTGTGGGTGATGGTGTAAAACGGAAACAAGTCTCCGTAAGCCAGCCGGAGCTGCGGCAGCTAGCAATACCGTCCGGTCGGACAAAGCTCGACAACACCAGCCCAGACCGGAAAAAGCGGGGCGATTTTTTTAGGATCCGCAACGTGGTACAGCAGACATCGAATGGCAATACATGATGCCTGGGGTCTCCAGAAGCACGAAGTTATGCCAAGCCAGGCTATTTAACAATTAAAATGCTTCTTCCTTTCTTCCCCAAAGCACCAAAGACAAACAAACCACAGGAATGCCTCAATGCATCATACTGGATCATCGTACCCCGGAAACGGTTAAAATCTGCCGTCCCCACATTTGCAACAAAATTAACCATGCAGATGATTGATTCGCTGCAACAAATTTGCATCATGGTTCTCCCAGCTCTGGCCTTCATGTTCAAGGCTGGTATAAGTTGTTTTGCATCGTGTCATGCTCGCTAATGCGTGTACCTGGGGAGTCACGTTACGGTCATGAGTTGATAAACGACAGAATATTGGGTTAATTCAATTAACAAACCATTGAAATTCAGCTCACCGTACTCCAATGCCAAAGATAAACGCACACCATCTCAGATAAACGAGCTGCCGAAGCTCATCTACCATTATCGCTAACCGTTCCAGCAAGATCGCCACAACTCACGACAGCGTAATTGTATAATTACACGGCACGCTGATTACACTGCTACCGGCTACTGGTGAGACGCCGCGCAAATAAGACGGTCGGCCCATTAATCGGAGACCTTCGATCTGGCCGGGGCGGGGTCCGGCTCGTCCCCCGCTGTGCATGAAGGCACGCCGCTCGTGATGGGAGCGGCCCCGCCCTGTCCCTCAGTGAGACCAAAGAACCACACCCCTTCTAAGTAGCTCGTCTTTCGGAGGCGGCGCTTCACTCAGTATCCGCTTTTAGCAATGCTCGAATTCAGGATTAACTTCGTCTTTCGGAGGCGGCGCTTGACTCAGTATCCGCTTTTGATAATGCTCGAATTCAAGGCTTTGTGTGATTGTTCAATGTTCAGGCTCCCCATGGCTCCTGATGATTACGGCCCCCAGTCCTTTTTATCGTGGGTTCAGGCTTCAAATCGAGGTCATTTTGATTCAATTTGGAACAATCAGGGGATCATGTTTGGCATTCGCCATCGATATTGACACATCGCAGCTACTTTTCACATAATCATTATTAATGAAAAAGATCAATAATGAGCGATATACTCAGGGAGAAAAAAACATAAATTGATCACGGAGGATTATATGAATATTAAAGAAAATAAATTAAATGATAACCAAAGGTTGACCCATACTGCAACCTAGTTATCGGGGCACCATAATGAGTGGGACTCGGCAGAGAAGCATCTCGTTCATATCAGTAGAGGTGGGGTAGATGATTGTGTATCTGACTTCAAAGAGCGGTGACCCAAAATCAGACATAATCAAACCAGGGCTATTTGCGAAACTGGACCGAATTCCGCAACAACTTTCGCTGAGGGCTGAGCGCATCAATTTTATCGTAATGGCCCGGTTGACATCAAATGAGTGTAGCGTTCACTCCCGACCGCGTCTGCAGAAGAGTCTGTGATCAGTGTCCCGTTACACGACCAATGAGAAACATTGACTAGCGGTAGCTGTACCCTGTACAGACTGCCCCGAACTGCCGGAGACTGCTTGCACTTTCAGCAGATTACCAAACCAGACATAAGAGCGGGAAGTAGAGAGTGGTTTGGCAAAGGCAATTATGTAACTGAAAGGCTTAGAAGTAGCGACTAATGAAATCGGTATTACTTCACGAGACAGTGCGAATAACAGCAAGAAACAGGCCACTATTCCAGCGTAATTGTTGCAAGACGATTTGTGTTATTCCTTCAGAAAATCAAAAGGCATTCTGGTTCGCTCACCTGTCAAACGGCGGAATTGATGATGCATGCAACTTTATTGCATATCAAAATCCGTAAGAAATGAGCAGTGAGCACGTCCCTATCGGTTATCAAATAAAATCTACTCCCAGTTCGATTTTATCAATTCAAGCAGTCTTGCGATCTTCGTTAAACGATTGTCACATGCTGATTGATGACTGACAATAGGTAGCCGAATTCAGACCACGGCGAACTTCAAATAAAAAAAGCGATAAATGCATATCAGCGCATCTTGACGGAGCACTTCTGTGTTTGACTCTCCACTAGCTCTGTCATTTTCCAGTGCTCTCATTATTCATCCTTCCATTTTGCGCCGAACCCAGCCCCTCTGTGTTTCCTGGTAGTAGTGCACTACTACACTCCAGGGTAATGCAAGTGTATTGCAGCCGTCCGCGTGCATTGCGGTAGAGTTTTCCGTGCTACTGTTGCACACCGTCCGTTTCATTGGCAGCAGGTCAGCTGTCAGCCGAGTTTCACCTCTGCCACGACTGGTGTGGAGGTCTGGCCGCAGTTCCGCACGAGACTGTGCAATGCAGCCGCCACCAGTTTTGGAAACACACCGACGTGCACGCAAATGCCCTGAGATCACAGCCTTCCGGATGTGACATCATACTGGTTCGATGAAATATTAATTTGTGTCGCGAGAAATGAGCTAGAGATTTTAATTGCAGAATCCTGAAATTGAGCAATACTGAATTATAACCAGCGAAAAGAGCCGACCAGAATGGTCCGCTCTCGGCAAAAAATTTGCTAAGGCGGCACCGCAAAATTTATGCAATGTGAGAAAATGACCCAGAAAGTGGAAAAAGAGCAGCCAGGTTTTTGTATCCGTCCAATTTCACTACCACTTGCCAACCGGACCAGGCGGACGAGTTCAGGGACCGATTCAATATTCAGCGGGCCACCCCCGGCGGGTCCACCGTCTAACGGTGCACCAGGAGACAATTACTATCAGTCCAGCCTATCGAAGATGCCGGCTGCAGAGAAACTTGATCGGGTCCCGTTAGCCGTGTATAGCCGGCAAAGCGGCCAATAAAAGAATCGATTACGTGTCATTATAATCAGGCTATAAAGATGCGAGATGGCAATAATCGCTAATTAATAGGTGACGTGATATCAAAATATTCACCAGCTGATGACCTTGTGAAAAGAAATAATTTGCATGCATGGTTCAATAGGTACTTTAATAATTAGTAAATATCAAAAATATTAAAAACAATCAACCAATAAGAGAGATAGAAAACAGGCGGCCCAATCAACACCAGACAGCCGCTTACCTTTATGGACCCATTTGTTGCACGTCGAGCAAGTGACCATGCCCAAGTCTTCCGGCTTCTTGTTATAGCATTTGAAGCAGATAGGACAGTACTTGGCCTTCTTCCACAATCTGAAACAAAAAGAAGCAGAAATGAAACGCCAACTCCGCTCAGTTGTATCTTTTACGGGAAACACAACCAAAGTGCACTTATCAGCCAGTATATCAGCCGCAGCGGATCAGCAGAACTTTGAACCCGAGCAAAAAAAAAGCGCCCATTGGTAACTGGCGCCGAAAGTAAACCAGTGATAAGCCTCATCAAATGCAAGACACAGGCTCGGCGATGACGGAACCGTTCAGCCAGAGCGGTCGCTTTGGGGCACATCCCACACAACCGGACCCGTCACGTCGCATCGCTCCCGATTTCAACACCCCCCGCCGGCCGAACCGTCACAAAACCGGCAGCCGGCGACCCTATCCTGAAGCGCCGAAATGCCAGTGTTTGATCACCGACAATCTATCGCATTCCGACGCACGCCAGTATGTCTATAAATCAAATAGAAAACGTTATCAAGTTGTGAGCCTGCGTCACGAAGCGACAGACAGCACTCACAATTTCAGATCCATCCATAATACTATAGCCAAGCATCCGTGCGATGAAAATGGACCAATACTTGACAGGCATGAGGATTACATCAAGACATCAATTTTGCATTAAATCTGGTTCTTTAACTGTAATTGTAAAAATTAGGTAGAACAAATAAGCCTCTATTGCTCTCCAGCGATAAGGCTCTAAATGTAGCAAACACGCACAACCAAACCAAATCTAGCCAACGCGGTAGTGAGCTTTTTGCTATGCATAGTGGATAAACTTGTCACTTTTGCCTGACGTAACGCCTGTCAGCGGGGCCTTTAGCCCTTACCTTCAGCAAAGACGTCTGCTGGTGAACTGGATTGTATTGGCGTCAGATACAGGACTTTATATATGATGACACACACGTGTACGAAACTGGGACGCTGACCGACACGCGTGAATGTAGGACGCAGGGCGGCCGGCTGGGCACTGCAAAGCGCAGCGTCAATCAACTTTATTATTGTACATGCGTGCGGGCCGGGCCGCCCGTCCGTCACACGATGAGCGTGGCGAATAGGATTTTGCAAGGTTTCAATTAGTGTAAACTGTGAGGGTGCAGGATGGAGCAAGGCTGTGCGACATTATCTCACCCTCCCCGGGAGCCGACAATAGGAGGCGTCAATGAACACTTGCAACAAGACATGATAGTATGATGCACAGGTATGCATTGTTGGAGATCGACATCGAAAGCAGCATCAGGTAGAGATCCCATCGGTTCGCCAGGCATCATGGTGAGCAGCAGAAATATTCTCGGACGCCGTAGAATGTAGATGGACCGTAGGTACTCGTATGTGCGCCTCTGGAGTGGCCAGCGCTTGGTGCTGGAGTACAGCGGCGGCCGGCTGGTATCCTGATATCGCCCGAGATGGTGATAGTGAGGTCACCAGAGAGGTGACGGCGACGTCAGGTGATGTTGTAGCCGGATGCCTGCAGGAAGGCGCTGCCACGAGTGTGGTGACGTGGCGTAGAGAGTTCGGTCCACCGGTACACCGTGCCGTGTTGATGAGGCGGGTGTGTAGACGGCGTCGGCGTTAGAAGACTGCTGCTTGATGTGGCTGGAGAACCAACAGGGGAATCTCGATGGCAGGAACAGACGGATGTCGACCAGTGCAGGTCTTCGCGGCTGGACTGGGCCCTTGTCCAGATGGATACGCGAAGATGGAAACCTGTGACCATAACTGACACATCGTTGTGCAAAGCGGCTGACAACCTATACCTATTGTGACTCGAGGGGTGTTGAGATAAATGGTTAGGTAGTGAGATGTTGGGAACTTGGAAGAAGTGGTAATGCCTGTATCCGACTTTTTACGTTTGGACAAATCTACAAACTATAGTGAAGCAAAATATACAAGAACAATTGGCCAGCGATACAAGTACACACGATTTACAAGTAATACAAGGATACACATTTGACAAGCAAGACAATACATACCATCATATTTGCATATGGGTATGTGGACGGCACTTGGCCGTGTCTTCTTTATGAACCATGGTGCGTGACGTTCAAGTGACAATAAGCATCATGTGACACAAGCAACCAAAATGTACAATCAAAAACGTGAGGCTTAGAAGGGAGCAAAATTTTGGCCTCACCATGTTGCACTTCCGCTTACATGATAATGTGAAGATCCTCGAAGTTGTAGATGTATCGGGGCGCCGGCCGGGCGTGGCACGGTCGCACTGTGGTACATTGTATATAATCAGGCTTGAAGAGCCTGGCGGAAGCGAAACATGATAACGGGGAAGTTTGAAGAAAATTAACGTTTAAAAAGAGTGATTACGAAAGAGAGGGTAAAAATACCAGCCAGAATGGCTAAAAACGAGATGACGTAGTTTTTGATAGATGTGCCAATGGAGGTTGTGGTCATAGAGTCGAAAAGACCACGGGAGTGTGTAAGAGCTGTGTGTTGAACAGAGGTTTCATTACGTTGCGTAAGGTTCAAGATGGGAGCATCTAAACAAAAAGAAATGGGTTCACAGCTTTTTATTGATCGATGAGATAGACAAATTCTCTCTTTGTGGCATTGTTGGGAAGTAATAAATTCGATGGTAATGAGGGAGTCTTCAGTAGTGAGTGAAACGGTTCTAGTGGACAGCGGGATAGCGTTGAAGGAAACGGATGCGGGTCCTGACGAACAAAGGGATTTGGCACGTAGGACGATTTTTTTGCAGCCAACGGACATGAGTGACATCCGTCGACCGATACTACGGATTCTATCCTAGGACATATTTTGGATGTGGAGAGGGATAGGTACGTATCGTTGGTGGTGAAAGGGGCGCTAATATGCAAATAATTTTGATTTACTTACTCGGTTACCTTTCTGTTGGCGGGTACAATCAGAGGCAGCGTCCGATGTCGTTCTCTTTGGTGCCACAAGCATGAGCAGCACCTATTTGTGATCAAAAGTATGAATTGGGTGGGAGGGGGGAATATAAAGTTTCCTACCGAACCATTATCGTTATCGTTCGGGTATGTAGCAGTTAAGTATAATAACAAGGCTTATGCTTTTGGCGGAGTCCGGTAGGTAGTTGTTTGGTTTTATGTATGTTCATTGATCCAAAATCAGACGAGGTGCATAATTGTACCCGCAATCTCGAAGATTGGTATCTGTGGACAGAACAAGGCTGAAGTGTCAAGTAACGCCATAAGGAGCTAGATTTCCAAATGTCAAAATAATGTCACAAAAAATGCGAAGAACATTGTCACACAAAACACCATATTCAAGACATTGCATGTCATTTCATGTCATTTCATTGCATGTCTTTGCATTGCAATTTTATTGCAACATGAATTCTTAACTATAGGTACTTATTACTATAGGGATATATACAAAAGGGAAGCGCTTCCATATGTACAGGTACCTACAACAATCTTTGTCCTTGGCTATTCTTGAGCTCTATCTGAGACTTTTTCTCCTTTACTCTCTTACGGTACCGGAGCTCTATAATATATTCTTTCTCAATTCTCACTTTTTTCAGCACAAGGACGAGAGCTTTTTTTTTATGTAACTGGCAGTTACGTTACTGACCATATCTTGGAGGTGCCCGTAAGTTGGCTCTTGGCCTTAGATTATAATGCGGTGGAGCTTGTGCCATCGCTGGTCCTCGGGCATTGTAAATTTCCTCCATTTCTGCCAATTCAAACCGTCGCTGCGGTGGCATTCTTTCTAGAACCTCTCTCTGTTCCTGCGGTCTTTCGGGTTGAGGGTCTGCATGGGTCCCTGGGTCGGCCAGCAGCGTAATGGGAGTGTTCTCGCCAGTATTGCTGCCTGGGGTAGCTTCGCCTACGGAACGTGTAGCAGATTCACCACTGTGAGCCACAGGAGGTTTCTGAGCATTGAAGGGGTTGTCCTCGGTGAATTTTTTTAATCGGTTGACGTGCACGAGTTGCACGTCACCGGGATTTTCCAGATGCTGGATACGTGCATTGACGGGACTAGTCAAATGCAGCACTCTGTATGGACCTTTGTTTAACTTTTGAAGCTTGCGGGTGAGTCCAGGTTTGAATTGAGGATTGTGAAGGTACACCAGCATGCCTTCATGGATGGACGGAGGATTGGATTGGGTTGGATGGGATCGTTCTTGCGCCAAGATGGCGGCCTCATTGTTGTCGCGCACCACGTCATGAAGTGCCGACAAATGTTTATGGAGCAAGTCACGGTAGGAATCAATGGAGGCAAAAGGATCAAAGGGCAGTTGAGCATCGACGTCCAATGGAAGAAGTACATCACGACCAGTGAATATCTGAGCGGGAGTTTCACCGGTAGAACGGTTGATGGAAGACCGAATGGCTAAAAGAGCCATGGGCAGAACTTCGTCCCAATTCTTTTGGGATGGATCGACGAAATGAGATAAGATATTTGCTATAGTAGCATGCAGTCGTTCCACACGGCCGTTGGCCTGTGGATGACGAGGAGATGAAAGGATGCGTTTGACACCCAGAAGCTTACAAATGGATTGCATGAGTTTTGAAGTGAAATTGGATCCACGATCACTAAGAAGATTTTTACTGATGCCGTACCTTGAACATAAACAGTATGCTGAATAGTACGGTCAGACACGTGGATTGGTATTTGACAATGACCTAAAATCTGAATTGGGGTACCGGTAACTCCTAAAATAGATAGTGATGACTTTTCAAGTGGACTCGAAATACTGCACGATTGAAAGAACTTGTTGCTAATGAGGCAGATACTGGATCCGGTGTCATATAAGGCTGAACCAGGTTGGTCCTTAACAGAGATTTCCAGGATTGGTGGACGAGGGCGTGTACCTGAATTATCAGCTGCCACGCTCGCGAACGCTGTAGTCCCATTTAGCGTCGCGAGCGGTTGCCGTTTGGGGATGGACTCCGTCGGGAGTGACTCGATCCCCTCCGATCCGGAGATCGGGATTGCGACCTTGAATAAGATCGGTACCGTCGGTCCCGAGAGTGAGACCTTGATGAGCGGCGATAACGATCATAGCGGTCCCTCGATGAGTGACAGTGATCTGAACA